ATTAGTTAATACTTGATTTTTTCCTTTTAAAAATATGAATTGAAATCTCTATAAGAATCAGACAAGGTTTCTGAGCCTCATGAATAGCTGCTGTCACTCTACTGTTTACTAGTGACCTTGGGCTTATTTAACTGCTCTATGCCTTGATTTCCACATCTGTAATATTAGAGTATTAAAAGTATGTACTTTATAGATTTATGAAGTTAGAGAGCATAGTGATGTGAATAATGAAATTCTGGATTCTAAACTCAAGTACCTGATTTTGCAGCCCAGCTCTTTAAATTGGGAATAATAATAGGATCAACTTTTGGGGAGCTATTTTAAGTATTAAATAAATTAATCTTTATAAAGCCTTAAGAACAGGGCCTGGCACATATGGTAAGTGCTGTTTAAATATTTGCAAGCTGTAAATACTCGGAATAGTGCCTGGCATGTAATAAAAACTAAATAAACGTTAAGTCTTTACAGTGCCTGGCACATATGGTAAGTGCTGTTTAAATATTTGAAAGCTGTAAATACTCGGAATAGTGCCTGGCATGTAATAAAAACTAAATAAACGTTAAGTCTTGTTCAACTCATCTCTTCCAAAAGGAAACTGCAGTCTTAGTTATGCTAATATAGCTGATTTCTATTGGGGTTTTTGCTTTATCCCCCAGTTACATAGACCTCTTGAGTATAGGGATACATTCGGCCAAGTATCTGCACTGGTTGTTTTGCATGAAAGATAGAAGAGGAGGCAGAAGGTGTGAGACTTGGGAGGAGTATTCCTGTAGGCACAGGTGTGTCCATGAAGTAATCTGGAGCCCTGAGGTCCCCAGGAAAGTCCTAAGAGCCATAGTGGAAGCCTTTAAGGAGCTAAGACAAGCCATTAGCAGGACTCTGATAGTCTTATTACAGCTCTGACAAGGATAAGAAGATAATCCTAGATTTAAGTTCTGGGCTAGATCTCTGTAGATGCATGTAGAGACTGGAACCTTCTCTGACTTGTGAAGGAAGCTGGATGATCCACCAAGCCTGCGTGGGAGAATTATAAGGTGGTGCCCTAATCTTCTCTGCTGCACTATTCCTTACTGCCTCAGGACCTTCGCACATGCTGTTCCCACTGCCTAAAATGCTCACCTTCACCTTTTTTTGCCCCCTCCCTTCAATTTTCACCTGGCTAACTTCACCTCCTTCTTCAGCTGAGTCAGCACTATGCAGGCTCTGGTGTCAAGACACCTGGCTTCATATCCGAGCTTTGCTTCTTAGGAGCTGAGTGGCCTTGGGCAGACACTAAGCCATTCTGTGCCTTGCTCTTTCCTCCTACAGTTATTGTGTGAGGTACCATTGTTGGGTCTCAGCTTAGATTTCATTTCTCCTATTTAAGGGAAGGCATTTCCCCTGTTTCTGGGGCTTTCATTTTTAAGTTCAGAGTTGTGCCTTGGTTAGTTTTCACTTTGATTTGGATAGACCTTGGGTGGAATCATAGTAAAATACAGTCAACTTTGGAATTGCACATCACTGTTGGTTGACAGTTTTCTTTTCATGGTGATTCTCTCAGTGTGTCCCAAAGTTGTTCCACTGATGATCAGTTCATAGTTATTAGATACAGAAGGGTTCTATGGTGAAACACGTTTGGGAAGGGGTAGGTTAAACAAAGTCAAGCCCATTTCTTTTCTGCAGGACTTCTCGGAGACTACCGTGCTAGAGTGTTTTGTCTATTTCCTGGGGGAAGGTGGAGGGTCTGTAATGTTGCCCTGTGATGCTCATCATGGAACCTATTTTTTTATGAAATATAGTGTGGAACTGGTGTCTCAGAACACACCCTGGGAAACGCTGCTTTGTTTTCTGAGGTTCTCTCCGCACCAAATGCTAGTGCTTCTCAGGATATAAACAAACATAAGGGCTGAGATGTGGCACCAGCATGCCGGGGGTTTTGACTGTGTGACTGCGGCGTGATTCGACTTCTCACTGTGCTTCTTTTTTTTCTTTCCTCAACAGAGAAGGAGACCTTTCTGGATCCTTTTGTCCTCCGGGACCTCCTGCCTGCATCCCTGGGCAGCTATTACCGGTACACGGGTTCTTTGACCACCCCACCGTGTAGCGAAATTGTGGAGTGGATCGTCTTCCGGAGGCCTGTCCCCATCTCCTACCACCAGGTAGACATTCTGCACCAAACGGGGCTTCTGCATTTACTTGTTTTGTGTTGACCTAAGTACCCAACACTGCTGAAATATACCAGTAAAGATCTGCTTTTATCCTCTGCTCTTCATTGATTTCTTCAGTCTTTTAAACAAACAAATGTTTTTGAACCCACGAATTGTAAAATATAGACTGTGGTTCCTTAGCTGCAAATTAACTAACTAGCTGAGGAGAACTGCAGGCATGAAATTAGGTATTGTTTGGGTATTCCATCTTGAGGAGATAATAATAGTTATCTCGATGATGATGATAGCTGTGCCAGAGACTCTTCTAAACTCATTATATGTTAACCCATTTAATCTTCATGAAGAACAGAGTTATGAGATAGGAACTACTTGTACCCCCATTTTATAAAGGAGTCCAAGTGATACAGACATAACTTGCCCAAGTTCACACAGCTGGTAACCAGGCCATGGCGTCTGATCCTAAAGGTCATGCTCTGACCACTGAACCTACCCCCGGTCTAGAAAAGACAGTGTGTACACGAAGAAATGAAATAAAACATACCGTTGAGGCTCTTTCTGCTTGCCAAGCACTTTACATATGTCAACCTAATCAGTGGCAAAATGACACTGAGAGATGGGTATTACACTAACACAGTGCATAGGAGGAAGGATCGGGTACCATGCCCGGGATTCATGGTTAATGAATGATGAAGCGAGAAAACAAGCCTGGGTTCGTTTGATTCCAAAATCCACTTTTCTGACCACTAACCTGCACTGCTTCTTCTGAGTATTGCCTGAGCAGATTTCACAGGAACGCAGGATTTAGACTGAATTGGTGAAATGGAGATGGGGTTGGGGCACTGTCAGAGGAAGAGGAGCCACCAGGAGATTCAGGGGCCTTGAAATCACCTGATGAAGATTATTAATGGATAGAAGGGGAGAATTTTTACAAGGGACATGTTAGTTGTCAAAAATTCAGCGTGCATTGAGGTAGAGAAAGAGTAAAATTTCTTCTGCATAATTCCAGCAAATAGAGCCAGGAGATGAAGATTATTAATGGATAGAAGGGGAGAATTTTTACAAGGGACATGTTAGTTGTCAAAAATTCAGTGTGCATTGAGGTAGAGAAAGAGTAAAATTTCTTCTGCATAATTCCAGCAAATAGAGCCAGGAACAGTGGGTAGGATTTGTAAGAAAGTGGATTTGAGCCATTAACCAGGACTGTCTAAAAATGGAAGGTTCTCATCAGGGCCTTTCATAGAAATGACACACACACACCCCCCTGCTGCCAGCCTGACAGCTCGGGGTAGGGATGTTGTAGAGAGAAGGGGGAAATTTTGAAATTATGTGATGATATCAGTAGTGTAACTAAAGAAGCAGGCAAGAACATCATGATCCTGGCCGGCCTGGGGGATAGTTCAAAGATTTTCCTAACAAGGGCAGAGGGTACAGAACATGGAGTTGGAGAGAGGGTTGGATGGTGTTCTGGTCAGAACTTTTTTGGATGTGAGAGACAGAAACCCACTTAAAGTAGCTCAAGTAGAGGGAGTATTTTAAAGAAAGTGTAGTAAGGGCATTCTGAGATGAGTTTCCTCATGACCAAGACAATAGCTAGAAAGTGAAGCACATTGTATTAGTCCGTTTTCTGTTGCTTATAACAGAGTACCTAAAACTGGGTAATTTAAAAGAAAACAAAATTTATTTCTTACAGTTTGGGAAGCTGGGAAGTACAAGGTCCAGGGGTACAACTGGTGAGGGTCTTCTTGGTGGGGGCTTTGGGCAGTCCCAAGGTGGCACAGAATATCATAGGTGAGGGCTGAGAGAGAGCCCTTGTTAACTAATGTTAACACTTGCTCTCCACATGAAGCCACCAGTCCACACCCATGAGAACCTATTACTCTGTGAATGGATTAATCCATTCATGAGAGCATAGTTCTCACAGTCCAATCATGTGTTAGAGGCCCCACCTTTCAACACTGCCACTTTGGGGATCAAGCTCCCACGTGAGCTTTGGAGGGACAGATATTCATTCTATAGCACATGTGCTTTTCTCTCTGTCTTTCAGGGGCTGTGGGGTCCCTTAAATCTTGCAGTTCCTAACACAGCTTTGTGATTGATACTATGTTTTTGCAAAGTGCTGTTTTGGGGATCAAGCTCCCACGTGAGCTTTGGAGGGACAGATATTCATTCTATAGCACATGTGCTTTTCTCTCTGTCTTTCAGGGGCTGTGGGGTCGCTTAAATCTTGCAGTTCCTAACACAGCTTTGTGATTGATACTATGTTTTTGCAAAGTGCTGTTCCCTGCTCTCTCCCAGCCTGTTCTCTCTTGGTTCTATGGCCCAACATGGTTGCCTTCGGAGCAGTTGACCTTTGAACTCAAAGGCTGGCCTTAAGTCATGGATTCAAGAACATGGATTTGAATAGATGTTGGCCAGCCAACTAAATGGCCGGCCTTGTGTTCATCCTTGAACAAGTCATCAGAGGTACCGGGTAGCTTCCTGAGACATCCAGTCTTGCCCCTCTGGGGGTCAATGGAGCAGATTCTCTAGAAGGAGGTAGGGGCAAGAGAGACACTTTATTCCTCTAACAAAGTTAGGTGATGTGGGGCCAGGCTAAACAGATTTATTTGGCCTTATTGCTGTTGAGTCATTTTAGTTTGAGATTTTTTTTCTTTTCATTCCACTCTGACGAAAAAGGAAGGATTGGCAATTTGGTTTCTGAACAGGATCTGCCAGTCTTACGAAGATAATGAAATTAGAAGCAAGTTTTCTTCCTAATGGTGAAGCCAACATTGTTTTATTTAAAAAAAAAAAAAAAGTTGAAATATTTATATCTGCAGGGTTGCGGGGAGGGTTGTTTTTTTTTTTTAAGGAGATTCTTTTTGTCAAGATAAATGCTTTTGTCTTCAAAGATTTAAAGGTTTGAGATAATGGAGTTAAGAAATACAAGTTTGTCTACTTTTTTTGTTGAATGCCATGTGAAGGAAGAGGCCAAGATTGGTAGCTGATTAGCTGAGGAGAAATAAGGACTGTTAACACATACTGGGTTTCAGTGCAGCCCCAGACATTTAGTGGATCCAAACAAAAGGCAGAGTTTTGGGCTTGGATGTCTTGTCAAGCGTTTGTCAATTAGAAGCATTTTGACATTTGGTCACGGGGGGCTCTTAGCAAGTGCTTTGTAACTGTTTATCCTTTCACTGTCTGCCACACACTGAAAGAGAAGAAATGATGGGGAAGTTTTCTCTGCCCTCTGATGTATGACTTCTCTGAAGGTATTGTGTTTCAAGGAAGTAGAAAAGACATAAATTAATCCTATTTGCTTTCCAGTTTCTTTTCTATAAACCATCTTCAGATAATTCTTTACCTTTATCAGACACTGCTTCATATATCCCTAAATCTCTCCCAAGGGAGGAAAACGGCTCATATTCATGTGGCCAAACTGGATCCTCGCTGGCTGTCTTTGTGGAGGTCACCGCTGTGTCAGCTCTTGGAAGGAAAGCATTAGCTGTCCACGTGTTATCGCCTCAGACCTGCCCACCTTGACCCTGCCAGCGTTCGTTCTGAAGTTAGCACACAGTGTTCATTTCAGAAAGGCAGACAGCCAGTTCGGAAAAGCCAAGTAGTCAGGAATTCCCGGTCTGCTTCTGTCAGAAAGAAAACATTCCTAGTCCTTCATTCCTCTACTTCTCTAAAGTCTCTGTCTCTTCTCTCTCATCCGGCGTGGGCGCCTACACGCATTGAGAATGAGAACACGTTCACCATAAAAGACAGTGGTTAGCACAGACTGTTGACTTGTATGATGTGGGTTTCTTTGAAGCTTTCCAGAGTACATATGAGCAACCCCTTAATTTTCCCCTTTTGTTCTCTTTCGTGAGTCTAATTGGACATTCAAACCAGCCCTATAGCCAGTGAACTCTGCCTCTGGCTTGTGTGATAATCTAGATCAAAATACAATGTTGCTAATGGAATCACATGTTGGCTTGTTGACCAGTTGTCAGCATGGCTTATATGGCTGCATTAAACATCTACTCTAAATATCAAGCAAAAATCATGCCATGACCTTGTCACCCGAACAAAATGGCGGCACTCTCAGTCCTGGTGTGGGAGGTCAAAGGGGCAGCACGAGCGCATGGAGACAGTTGCCTGTAATGCGTTTATGATCAGTCAAAGACGGTTGTCTTTGAGTCCAGTGTACTAGGATTTGTTTTATTCTAGAACAATGATTCTCAAATGATGGTTCTTTGCCCATTTGGCGACGATCCCAATGCTCCCTTTCCAGGACTCTTTGCCTCCTGGAGGTTAAAATATGACACTGCTCATATTTTCCCCAGTAGGAATTTTATTTACATGCTTCTTGGGGGCGCTATCAAAAAGGCAGTAAGTAAAGCTGAATATGTCTAGTCTGTTTACCTTTGAATGTTTGATTTTTTTTTTTCCCTAATGTTAAGCTGGAGTCGCTAGGAAAGGTTTGTTTACATGACCCATTTTTAACAAAGTTATCTCTATCCTAAAGAGTAGAGCATCAAAAGTAAAGCTGAATATGTCTAGTCTGTTTACCTTTGAATGTTTGATTTTTTTTTTCCCTAATGTTAAGCTGGAGTGGCTAGGAAAGGGTTGTTTACATGACCCATTTTTAACAAAGTTATCTCTATCCTAAAGAGTAGAGCAGCTCTTTGAAGTTAAGACCATGTGCTTTGGAGGCAAACTGCTGGGGTTCCATTCCTGGCTCCATTCTTTGGACGAATTAATTACTCAACAAGTCTACTACTCGGTGCCTCAGTTTTCTCATCTGTAAGATAGTGATGATAATAATAAACCCACCTTATGGATTAATAATAAAGATTAAATAATAGAATGTATGTAAAATGCCTAGACTAGTGCCTGGCACTACAGGAAGTGCTTGGAAGATAATTAGGTGGATTTTTGGTTGCTGTTATTAAATCATCACCAAGCCTCTAGGGCACCATTGTACAGTTGAAATAAAAGAAGCCACATACATTTAAATTTTCTAG